TCTAATACACAAGTTGCTACACAGATGTCTTCTCCTTATGCATCAATAATTATTTATTTAGATTCATTTAAACAATCTCTTAACTATAAGACCGCTTCAAGAAAATATTTAGCTGCATCAATTTCTTTAATGCCTGAACTCTTTACTTTAATCATTAAATTTATTTTATAAAATTGATTTTTTTTAAGAAGAAGATGTATATTCAGATTCCATATTATTAATCATATTTTAACATCTCTAAAGATGATGTAATGAATAGAATCAAGGCTTTCTTTCTACCTTTTATAAGGGATTTTTATGAACATACAGCCATAATTTGATCTATAAAAGTTGTTCTTTATGATGAGTTAACTTTCTCATGTTACAAATAGAAACTAAATGAATTTCGAAGGATCCCTAATCTTTTGCATTTATATATTCTTTTAATTTTGGAAAACCCATTATTCAAACATTTTTAATAAAGATTTGTGGTTGTGATATCATATTATAGATATTCAATATCTATTTAGATAACAATGAGTATCTGATGTGTTATAGGAAATCAAATTTTCAAAATGGTGTTAAGTTGTCAATAAGATGAATTAATTATTATTGTAATTAAATTAATCTAATATAATCCATATTCTAAGAAGGAGATTTAATGTATATTAAATATTTTAGAATATTAAAATAGATTAAGATTAAGTTTAATCATGTTCTAAGAATAAATGGTATAGTTTAAGAAATAACTTTATCTTTGATAGGTTTTTCCTTATTTAATGAAAAGTTATCCAATATAATATTTAAATGATTATGTTATTAATATGATCTTAATTTTGACTCAATTTGATAAGTAGCAACTAAGTTTATAACAATAAATATAAAAATCATAAATAATTAATGGATAATTTATTATAGATTTCATAAGAAGTAAGAGATGCAATAAAAAATGGNTACTTTAAGAATACTTGCTCATCTCTACTAAATAATTTTATTGTAATTAAGGTCAAATTAAAAAGTAAATCTTATAAAAAATGATTAATTTATTACATTAGGAATATTTTAACTATTATTTTTGTAATTATTAATCAATAATTAAATCCTCCTCTATATTTTATGTTGCCTCGAATAAAATTTTAATCTTAAAAATCATTGTCAACTTTTTTTTATTTATTTTTTCTACTTTTATTTTTCTTTTCATTGCCATTTGCCCCAAATTTTGAATCAAAAGCTTAAGCAAATCCATGTAATCCATCTGAGATCAGTTCTTCATCTCCAATATAATTCATTGGCATTTTGTTTTACTGTTTATTTTTTGAGTTGCTCTATTTATCATGCATATCAAATTATGGTCTTTATTATTAATCTTATTTCTATGTAGATTCTATTTATATCTCTTTTTATTATTATTATTGTTGTTGTTGATATTATTATTTATTTTGCTTTAATGTTGAATTATTCTCTATGATATTTTTATTTTATGATTTTTCATAGTCTATCAATTAATGCAAATATTTCTCAACATAAGTATATGGATTCTAAATTACTTAACCAAAATCCAATACTTGAAAGCTAATTATTATTCCACTTTCTTTACAATCCTAGATATCATTGATAGAACCGCTTGTTTTGATTAAATTTTTATTATTAGGAAATTAATTCTTTAATAATTCTAATACACAAGTTGCTACACAGATGTCTTCTCCTTATGCATCAATAATTATTTATTTAGATTCATTTAAACAATCTCTTAACTATAAGACCGCTTCAAGAAAATATTTAGCTGCATCAATTTCTTTAATGCCTGAACTCTTTACTTTAATCATTAAATTTATTTTATAAAATTGATTTTTTTTAAGAAGAAGATGTATATTCAGATTCCATATTATTAATCATATTTTAACATCTCTAAAGATGATGTAATGAATAGAATCAAGGCTTTCTTTCTACCTTTTATAAGGGATTTTTATGAACATACAGCCATAATTTGATCTATAAAAGTTGTTCTTTATGATGAGTTAACTTTCTCATGTTACAAATAGAAACTAAATGAATTTCGAAGGATCCCTAATCTTTTGCATTTATATATTCTTTTAATTTTGGAAAACCCATTATTCAAACATTTTTAATAAAGATTTGTGGTTGTGATATCATATTATAGATATTCAATATCTATTTAGATAACAATGAGTATCTGATGTGTTATAGGAAATCAAATTTTCAAAATGGTGTTAAGTTGTCAATAAGATGAATTAATTATTATTGTAATTAAATTAATCTAATATAATCCATATTCTAAGAAGGAGATTTAATGTATATTAAATATTTTAGAATATTAAAATAGATTAAGATTAAGTTTAATCATGTTCTAAGAATAAATGGTATAGTTTAAGAAATAACTTTATCTTTGATAGGTTTTTCCTTATTTAATGAAAAGTTATCCAATATAATATTTAAATGATTATGTTATTAATATGATCTTAATTTTGACTCAATTTGATAAGTAGCAACTAAGTTTATAACAATAAATATAAAAATCATAAATAATTAATGGATAATTTATTATAGATTTCATAAGAAGTAAGAGATGCAATAAAAAATGGAAAAGGAGTGGTAGCATTAGAGTCAACTATAATAACACATGGGATGGAATATCCAACAAATGTATAAACAGCTTTAGGAGTGGAAGAAGAAATTAGATCTAAGGGAGCTATACCAGCAACTATAATAATTATTTAAGGAATAATTAGAGTTGGTTTAAGACCAGAAGAGATTGAGGAAATTGGAAAAAATAAATAAAAATATTAGAAATGCTCAAGAAGAGATTTTGCTTAAATAATTGCATAAAAGGGATATGGAAGTACAACTGTAGCAGCTACTATGATGATTGCTCATATGGCTGGAATCAAAGTATTTGTTACAGGAGGAATTGGTGGAGTACATAGAGGAGCAGAACATACATTTGATATTTCTGCAGATTTGGTTGAATTAGGTTAAACTCCAGTAGCAGTAATTTGTGCAGGAGCTAAATCTATTTTAGATATTCCTAAAACTTTAGAATATTTAGAAACATAAGGAGTTCCTGTAGTAGGATATAAAACGAAACATTTTCCTAATTTTTTTACTCCAGATTCTGGATTATTATGTAGTACGTCAGTCAATTCTCCTCAAGAAGCAAGTGAAATAATCAAAGCATAATTCAATTTGTTAAAACTTAAAAATGGAATCCTCTTTTGTGTACCTATCCCTCAAGAACAAGCAGCAGATGGTCTTATTGTTTAATAGGCTATTGATTAAGTATTATATTTATTCTAAATAGGCACTTAAAGAATTGGATGATTAAAATGTTAATGGAGCATTAGTTACTCCATTTTTATTAAAAAGAGTTAATGAAATTACTAATGGTATGAGTTCCAAATCTAATGTTGCTTTAATCAGAAATAATGCAAGAGTTGGAGCTGAAATTGCTATTTAATTCTGTTCAAAATGATTTCTATATGTTTTTAATACATATCTTAAAATTTAGTATGAACATTATACTTATATATTTTTATTTTTCCTTATTATTTTACATTGGAATGTTTCTTATTGTTCTTAATAAAAACTTAAGTATATTAGAATAATTTATCTGGATCTAATTTTGTATAAGACTTTTTATGTTCATCAAAGAATATATATTTTTCACCTCAAGATTTAACAAATCAAAGAGCTCTTTTTCAAATCAGATCACTTAAGATCTCTTTTTATAAAGATTCAAAATTCTAAAGAAAGAAATTTTAATGACTCTTTAAGAAGTAAAAAAATAATCTTCAATTTGAAATTGCATTTTGGCTTTTCTACAGAATCTAGTTATTCCTAATGTTTAAAAATTAATTAAATTCTATATACTTTTAGAAGAACAGTGAATAAAAATTAAATTATATATGTTTAAAATTGTTTAAGTGAAAAAATGGTAAAATGAATTAATTATAAAATTTAATATCAAAGTTCATCACGAACTTTTAAGGAAACTTATAAATCAAAATCAGGATCATCAAATTATTCTATAAATAGGCATAATTTTTATAATTTAAAATAATATAAATCTAATAATTTAGAGCCACTGTATGATGTAATAATATCTTCTTCCTAAACATTTTCTTACTAGAGCTTGATTCTTTTTCTGGCTAATAATCTTAGTCTTAATCATTATCATTTTTTTCCTCAGGTTATTGGAAGAATTATTAAGTATCATCTATATTTGAGCCTTATTTATTTAAAAGATTAAGGTTAAATTGGTTCTATTATGCTGTTGTTAGAATTATTAAAATTAGTAGTTGAATGGGTTCATTGTATTATTGAGAACATTGTAAAATTTTTAACATTGAATAGGATTGAAGACAAATTAATTTTGGAAGTTAGGAGTTGAATTGGATTGAGAGTTATTGTTTTCAATTCCATAAGTGCGAAGTTTTATAATTAATAAATTATATTTAAGAATAGCTCATCTTAGTCAACCAGATTTTGAGTAATATAAAGTTATGGTATAATAAAATTTTCAAAATGTTTATTTAAAAGAGTAAAAATTAAAGAGATTTTGAATTTTTAAAAATTAAAAATTAAACAATTAGAAATCTTTAAAGTTTATTTAAATGTGATCAGAAATATATAAACAACTTTTAGTTATATTAAATTTGATCTTTACTATCCTTAATCATTATTAAAAAAAGATTATTTGAAATTTTAAAATTAAAATATTTTTAATATCATATTTAGAATAATCATTTAAGATATCATAAAAATACTAATAGAGTTTTCTATTTTAAATAATTAGTAAATAATTTTGGAAGGAATAATTGATCTTTCAAATATTGACTTTGAGTATATATTAAATTGTACAATGTTAAAAAGTTTTACTTTTATAGTATTCTAAATTTAAGGAAAAATTGAGTTGCTAAAGAATGTATAAATAAGATTAATTATAAATTTATTCCTGAAGGATTGATTACTTTGACTGTAATATAGATAGTTTTAATATACAGATGAGAATGGTTATAGAAATAAATAATATTTTATTTAGAAATCCAGTGAATAATGTAAACTATTAAATTAAGAGTTTGTTAGTCTATATAATCAAGTAAATTCTATAAATTTTAAGAAGAATTGTTATTTAACTTAGAGAGATTAAAATTGATTAATTAATAAATATTCAAGCATTTGAAGATTTCCTTAAGATATCCATCATTTTAATTAAGTCTTCTATTTATTTAAAAGGAGTGGTAGCATTAGAGTCAACTATAATAACACATGGGATGGAATATCCAACAAATGTATAAACAGCTTTAGGAGTGGAAGAAGAAATTAGATCTAAGGGAGCTATACCAGCAACTATAATAATTATTTAAGGAATAATTAGAGTTGGTTTAAGACCAGAAGAGATTGAGGAAATTGGAAAAAATAAATAAAAATATTAGAAATGCTCAAGAAGAGATTTTGCTTAAATAATTGCATAAAAGGGATATGGAAGTACAACTGTAGCAGCTACTATGATGATTGCTCATATGGCTGGAATCAAAGTATTTGTTACAGGAGGAATTGGTGGAGTACATAGAGGAGCAGAACATACATTTGATATTTCTGCAGATTTGGTTGAATTAGGTTAAACTCCAGTAGCAGTAATTTGTGCAGGAGCTAAATCTATTTTAGATATTCCTAAAACTTTAGAATATTTAGAAACATAAGGAGTTCCTGTAGTAGGATATAAAACGAAACATTTTCCTAATTTTTTTACTCCAGATTCTGGATTATTATGTAGTACTAATTCCATAAAATTTATTATTCTTTATTTTGAGTATTTAACTGTTAGATTTGAGTTACCAAGATATCATTATTTTTCCTTAATTATAAATTTTCTTATTTCATTTAATGTATTAATTCTTAGTTGATTTAATATTTTCCTAAAGATTCTGAGATTTTCTCAATTTGTATTTACATTTATTCTTTTTATTATTTTAATTTAACTCTTTGCTTTTCACTTTCCAAAAGTTTCTCTTCTAATTCACTAATTATCTTTTTGGTGAAATCATCTTTAGAATTGTTATTTTTTAAAGTAAAAATTTATTATTCAGCTTGATTTAATTTATTTTGTAATTCTTCAATTTAAGCTCCAGTAAAACCAGATACACTGAGAGATTGTAAATTTTCAACAAAATCCACTAAAATAGTTTTAATTTAATCATTCAATTATGAAGGTAATATGTTGCTTTTGAATAATGTTTAGAATTAAGATGTAAAGAAGTCAAGTAATTAGGATAAAGTTTATGGTTTGATAAATTTTTTATTACCTGAATTTGGTAAGGATTATTAAGTTGGTTTTTTACCTGAAGATTAGATAGATTATTTTAAACTCTTAGTAGTATGAGGTTGAGGGGAATTCTTGTTGATATTATTTGCTATTTTCTATTCTTAAGAACTTTCTGAAGATGAAGAGAAATTCCTATCCTGCTTTTTCAATTTCTATTCACTATATCTAGATGCACTTTGAGTTGTCTTTTTCCATTTTTCAATTAATGAATCCATTAGTATTCCTTAATTATTTATTATTTAAATTGTAACGATCCATTAATAGTTTTTTATACATATATTAATTACACAATACTATGATATTAATATCCTCATTTTTTTAAAGTGTTTGGCCTCTTGATTTTTGTACATTTAGGACATTCCAAATGTTTCTTAAAATCACTTACATAACTCATTTAAGTGCCACATTATGGGCAAACTGTACTTTTTTATGGAACCAATTCTTTCTTTACTTATTTTTATTTTATTTAATCTTTTTAATCATTCTCTTCAATTAAAATTATATCATTTAACTTGTTTTTTATTTACTATTATTCAAAGAGATTTAAAGAATAATTTTAAGATATTTTCAGTTATTATATTTAATGAAAACTATCTTTCAATTAATCTAATTCTTTTTATTTTGATAGGGTATAGATATTTAATTCATTCTTCAGATTTTAATATTAATTTGACAACCTATCTATGTTTTGAATTACTATTTTAAATTAATCAGTTTAATTCTGCTTAAATTTTTACAATTTCTAATCATATTCTGAAATTAGATTGTTAAAATATATTTCAAAAAATTACAGATATTATTCTTTCCAAAGCTTAAGATTTCTTAAATTGTCATCTTCACATGGATTATTAATTTCCTAATTAATTAGTACAGAATAAAAACTTTTATAATTTATTCTTTAAAACTTTCTAATTCTTTATTAAATTAATTGAATTTTGATTCACATTCTTATGCTACATCTTAATACTTTTTTATTTATGATTAAGTTTTATTTTTATTGTGTTACATAGTGTGATTTGGTATACATTCAACACATAAAACCTCACAATGCCATTAAGATACACAACATATTAAAGTAGCCTCTTAATTGTGTTCTTAGCAAATCTATTTCTATTCGTTGATCATTTTTTAATATAATTATTTATTTATAAAAACTTAAATAATATTCAGCCACTTCAACTTTATTGGGCAACAAAAACCAAATATTTAATACAAGTAATCAACTGGATTATTTTAATTGATATATTCTGAAATTGTTTGGTTAAAAAGTAAACAATCATTAAATAAATTTATCTAAAGCAGAAATTTTACATTAAATAATATGATTAAGAATTTGTAATTATTTCTGTTGAATACTTTTTTAAAAAAGCAACAATGATACTTATAGCAACATTAAATTCATACTAAATACAAATTTAATTAATTCTTTAAAAAAGTTGGAAATTTTGTAGTAAAATCTTTAAACCATGCATAAAAATAAAAAAATTTAGTATTTATTTATTTGAATCGTTAAGGATTGTTTAGTTTCATAAATTTTATAGGTAACTCTAAACTCATATTAATCATCATTGAAATATATTTATAAATAAATTATAAAAAGTTTCTTATAAAAAATATTTAAATTTCAAATTTAATTATTCTGATAATATAAATTTTAATTGATCAATAGAATAAAAACTCTAAAAAAACTTAGAGTTTTCTTCACAAATCTATAATTATTTAATAAAGAATGGCAAGTCAACTACCCAAAGGCGGATATAACAAAGGAATAGTCATTGAATTACAATGTCAATGCCCCCCAGGATGTTTATGTAATTCATAAAAAATAAGAAAGTGGCATCATAAAGCTTGTGGATGCCCTTCATTTATAAATGAGTTTGGAGATATATTTTGCAAAAATTTTAAAGACAGAAAGGATTGCTAAGGTTATTTTATCTAATATGCATAATTTTAATGTTCTGTTGCAAAAAGAAGTGAAACTTGGGTTGAATTTAAAAGTGCTGCTTAATTTCTAATGGCTTTGGCTCAAGGAATATAGGCTGCAGAATTCGTTCTTTAAAATGATGCAAACTATATTCATTTTGTCGATACTTTGAATAAAGAAGTTTAAAGAAGATGGAATAATTGATTTAATAGATTAATCATATGAATATCATTTTTTATTTAGATAAAATAATAGAATAAAATTTAATATAATAGAATAAAAAATTTCTTTATAATTTAGATTAAGCTAATAGTCAAAGAACAAATATTTTTTTAAAATTAGATGTCAATAAATGATGTTCCTAAAGGCGGTTTGAACTCATCTAAATTAGTACCTTTAAAATGTTCATGCCCGCCAGATTGCAAGTGTAGTGATAAAAATCCATCTTATTGGAAACATAAACCATGTTAAGAGCTTACTTATATCACAGATAAAGGGGATATTATTTGCAAAAATCATTTAACTAAATGCAAAGGTTATTTTATAAAAGATGCTTCCTTTGAATGTGACCAGAAAAAGCCTAATACCTGTTATCAATATAAGTCTATTTCCTAGTTTCTAATGGCTATAGCATAAGGTCTTCAAGCTGCTGAGTTCTCACTACAAGTTGAAGATTTGATTGTGTTTTCGACTTCTTTAAACACAGAAGTAGTTAAAAGATGGAATTCGTGATACGATGATAAATAACATATTTATTATATATTATAAAAATATATTTTTTATTAAAGTTCATTATTTTATTTAAACATAAATTATAGTAGTTCTCATTAGTATACTTTCAAAAGAATGAAAATTTTAATTATAAATATGAGAAATAATATAAGAATAATTTATTTTACTGCCATAATTATGTATCAAGATAAAAAAATTTATATTTATAGTTAATAGAAAAATAAGTATTGATAATAAAATGAGTAGATTGAAAAAATGTTTAATATCTGAATCTTAAATATATCAGATAATTAAATTATTTCATAGAGGATATATTATAAAGAATTGATTTTTAGAAAAAATTAGTTTATGAACATTTTTATTTGATAAATAGATTAATTAGATATCAATTTAAAAAAATGAAATGCGTAAATTGAATAGGATACAAAAAATGTAGTGATAAGGTTAAATATGATTAAAAAAATTGATTATATATATTTGTTTGTCTAAATTGTTGACATAAGTATTATTTATATAAAATATAAAAGAGATGAAACATCATTATGAAAGTGATGAAGATGAGGAGGAGCTGAAAGTAATGGATTTAGAAATAATTAGATAGGAGATGTTATATAAGGGAGATTCAGTATAAGTTAGAAAATAGGTGAGGGTTCTTTTGGGTAGGTCTATAAAGTGATAGATTAAAAGAGTGGAGATTAGGTGATGGCAATGAAAGTAGAAGTAGAGGAAGAGGATTATAGTATGTTAGAGAAGGAAATAAAAGTATTGATAGAAATGAGGTAGAGATTAAGATGATAATGATTAGGAAAAAGACAGGATTCCCTTAGATAAAATTTTATGGATAAGAAAAGAGATTCACATATTGTATAATGACAATGTTAGGGAAGAATTTGGAATCTGTAGTGAGAAAATGTGGAGGAAATTTTGATTTAGGAACATCATTAAAGATTGCAATTCAAGTTAGTCATAGATACAATATATAGTGAATAGATGATCGATAGAATCGAAACCCTCCATAATAGTCGATTTTTACATAGAGATATAAAACCTGATAATTTTGTACTTGAAGCAGGGCCATCACCAAAATTGATATATTTGATTGATTTTGGATTGTCTAAACATTATATTGTAAAAAGATATAGTAAAGATAGAATTCAAAAGGGGATCATATTTAGTATATAAAGAAAGCAGGTTTAATAGGAACTGCTAGATATGCTAGTATAAGTGCTCATGACGAGATGGAATAAGGAAGAAAAGATGATTTAGAAAGTATTGGTTATGTTTTGATCTATTTGGCAAGTGGTACACTTCCATGGATGAATTTATAAATTGAATAGAAGGATCTAAAATATGCTAAAATACATCATATGAAGAAAACAATTAAACCTGATGTTTTATGTGCTAAATTACCTAGAGTATTTTATTAGATTAATTAATCAGTGTTTCACTAAGTTTATGTTAGATGTCAGAGGATATGAATTTAAATAATAACCAAATTATTAACTATTAAAAAGTTATTTCTAAGAAGAATTAGAATAAATGCAAAAAGAAAGAAAAGGATAATTTTAATATGATTGGGAAAAATTACCTGAATATTAACAAAAGAAAAAGCACCTTACAGTTCATATTATGTAATAAAGTAGTAAAGAGGAAAAAGTTAATGTAATAAAATAGAAGGAACCATCAAAACCAAATGCTTAGACTTTTGAGTAAATTATGTAAGACACAAAGAAAATGAAAAGTACTAAAAAAACAACAAGTCATAAGACTAAAAAGAAAGATCCTATTATGATAAATATAGCAGAACCTGAATGTCCTGCTTAAATGCCATCATTTGGAATCTTAAATCTAAAACCATTTCAATAATAAAATTCTTTTTTACAAATTCCTTAATTAAACTCAAGTGGTATGATAGATTATTTACCTTCTTTAAATCCTTCAGTTGCAACATCTAAAATGAATAATTATCATTAAAGTGAAGATGTTGTAAGTGAAGGTCGTTTGCCAATATGGGAATTAGGAGATGGTCAAATTCCAGGTTTTCAAAAAATGATTGGTTATGTAACAAAAGGAATAAAAAAACCAAATGCAGATTTTTAAAGAAAAAGTAGAAAGGCTCATACATGTATGAAATAATGTGTATTTATTATTTAGAGATTGATACTATAAAAAAAATGTCTTAAAATTTAGTTCAACCTAAGACTATTCAAGGAGATGATGAAGGGATTCCTGAAGGATTAGATTGATTCTATAATATTATAGAATAAAAATATATATATTGATTAAGAATTTGGTATTTTAATTCAACAACATCCATCATTTTTAGAGTTTGATTTCTTAGAGTCTTTAACATCTTTGATTTAGAGACCTTTCTTTTTCCTGCCTTTACTTTCTTAAGCTTAGACTCTAATTGAGATACCTAAATAGATTGAAGTAAGAATATACTTTCACCTAAAGATCTAAACAATTCAGCAATTCCAATTCCAGCTTTTGCAGATGTAAAGAAATGTTTAGCTCCTATCTTTTTACAATATTCTTCAACTTCATTTTTATCAATTTGCATTTAATTCTTCATATCACATTTATTTCCTGCAACAACAATCGAAATATCTTTAGTTCCAAATTGTCTTAATTCTTCTACCCATTTTTCTACCTAGAATTTTAATTAAATGATCTACTTTAAGAAATGATTCTTTGTAAGTCACATCATAAACAAGCACTGCTCCATATGCATCTCTATAATAAACTGTAGTCAATGCATGAAATATTTCTTAACCAGCAGTGTCCTTTATAATAATAAATATTTAATACCCATATTGCTAACTTAATATCTTTACCACCTCCTAAATCTACTACTTTATCAAAATATGTAGCATTCACAGATGATTCCTAATTCTCATTAAATTGATCTTAACAATATCTCAAAGTTAAACAAGTCTTCCCTACTCTTCCTAACAATTATTTTATAATTTCACTCACCTTCTCCAAGCATCACTATTTTTATTGGTGCACTCATACAATTTATTATTTATATATATATATATAATCAAGTACTAAATAGTGGTGTTAGCTTTGCAAATTCTTTATAAAATAAATTTCGTTCTTCTTTCTTTCCTCTCTTCTTCTTATTATACTTTGCTTTCTCATAAAAAAATCTTGTCTCATTCTCACAAGCATTAAACACTCCCTTTGTATCTTAAAGTATTGTTTAAACAAATGAACTACTTTGACTTATTATTTCATAAGTAATTGGACTCACTATTGTCAATTAAAAGTCATCTTTTTCTAAATTAAAAAATGGACTATTATTTATTTATATTTAATATACTTCTAATCAAAACCTTTATAAAAGATTCCCATAGAATGAGGATTGAATTTTGTTCCATAAAATTCTAAAAATTTATATGTTGTCAATCCAATAGAATGGAATCCAGAATTTTATTAATAATAGTATTCCAAAAAGGCTACAACTAATAGTACTAAACAAAATGATGATATTCCACCTTTTGATTAATCATTTAATCCTCTTTTCTTTAATAAACTTTTAAATAAAAGTAGTATTGCTTTTAATTCTTAATATTCTTACACCCAATAACAAGTGAGTTCAGTTGATCTCAATCCTAAATGTTAAATATGTCCAAAAAAACTTATATCCACTTAAATCAATTAAGATTAACACAATAAATCTATATGAGGCAAATTCATATTCCCATTTCTAAATGGAATACTCGGATCAACCCATAATTTTATAAGAGGTAATGTTGTTTATGTTGGATAAATTGGTCTAGTTTTATTATATTTAATACTTTATACGTTTCACCCAATTCATTTTAGACAAGAATTCAATTATCATATCCATTTTTTAATTTAATAAATGTGTCTCCAAACCAGTGATACCTATATCAATATCACTATCTGGTAAAGCCAATCTTGTAGCACATGAACCAAATAAGTATATTCCAGCATCCTTAAATAAAAACTAAATTATATATTGGATTCTATTGAAAATTAACTATCTTATTGGAAACTGTTAATCATTTTCCCGTCTTATTTAATCAATAAATTCCTTAATATCAAGATCTAACTTTTTTATCATTTATTAAAAAGCTTGATTCATAAGATTTTCATCCATTGACTCTTCATTTTGTTCTTACTTTTTTGGTAAAACTAAATTCTTTTTAATTAATTTCTTCTTTTCAGGAGTATTGATACTTTGTTATTCACATTATTATTGTTATTATTATTGTTATTATTATTATTGTTAATATTATTATTGTTATTGTTATTATTATTATTGTTATTGTTATTATTATTATTGTTATTGTTATTATTATTGTTGTTATTATTATTATTGTTATTCTTATTATTATTGTTATTATTATTATTATTTTTATTATTATTATTATTTTTGTTGTTATTTTTATTATTATTCTTGTTGTTATTATTATTACAAATATTCTTATTAATATTACTCTTATTCTTATTATTGTTAATTATCATTTTTATTTGTATCTTCAATCTCCATTGATATCTTATTTTCCTATATTATTTGAGATTATTGATTTTATTATTCTAAAACCTAATGTAATTCCTTATTCGAATTTATGGCTGCATTAGTGTTATTAGAACACTTTTACTTTTTATTTTTTGTTACGATGATCCAATCTTCAGTGTCTAAATTATCATCAGTGGTTGCATCTTAATTTTCTTACTCTTTCTAAACTACAATAGGAAATTATTCCTAAACTACTTAATGTATCAATTTTTTTTATTTATTTTATTTTTTCTTCTTCTTTAATCTTTACTATGATATCTATTGTAGCTATAGATTTTGATCATTCTTTGTTAATAATTCTAATTCCTATAATATTGATTGCTTATAAGATTCTCTAATTATTTTGAGTACTATTTTTTCACAAAAACTTTAAAGAGTCAAAGCATTATGCAATGGCAAATAGAATATAGATTCAATTTAATTATCATTAAATTTATTAAGAATGTGTTAAATATTAATTGAATGATCTTTAATAAAATGAGAGTATTATTTAAGAATAATGTTTTAATCTATTTTAATAACACTTGAAATGTCTTCTTATACCTTTTTTCTTATATTATTTCCATTGTTAATCCAATATTATTAGATACATTCATGATTAATGAAGTTGATATGTTTATAATACAACAAGGTTACTTATTTTTCAAATTCATTTAAAATCCAATTAAGACAAGTTTAGGGTTGTGTAGAATCAAACCAACTAGCATCTTGAACCTTCAATTACTTATTATCTTCAATTATCTTTAATTGTTCTGTAAAAGCTTTACCATTTGAGCAGTCTCTAATCAAAATAATGATATTGTGCATATCTCCTCTAATACATATAGTATCAAATATTTCATCTTAATCCACCAAAGTGAGTTATGAGAACAATTTCTAAAAAATAAAACTGGAGAGTTACTTCTTCTAAATTGTTTTTTTGATGACATTCTTAAATTTAACAAATTTACTCAATATAATCCTTAAATTGAATAGATTGGTTCTAATTCAATTTGTATTATGATTTTTACACTAATCGATCATGTAAATACATCTTTAAGATAAATAGGCTGATTGATCTCTAACCAATAACAAGTTGATTGTTTCCATTGTTCTTCTTCGCCCTAATATATTCAATCATGTATAATACCAACTCAATAAACCAGAATAATATGATAATTACATGATATATTTTTAGATATGTATTAAATAAATTATTTGCGAAATTCATATTAATTATAATCCTTATATAGTATATATATGTTTATATCATAATTACATCTAAATCATCTTAAATATTCTGATATTTACTTTTCTTTAAATTCTCTCAAAATTTCAGCAGCTTCTTTGCTAATGAAGCTTTCAGAATCTGCACATTATGAAAATTTCAGAATAGGCTATTTATAACTATCTCTTTCATTTAATCTACTTAAAATTGAATCAATCTGTTAAATTTCTATAGAATCACAAATTCCTTTTAATCTTAATATCCCACTTAAAAATAAGATTGCATCTATAATTAACTAAAGTTTTTCATCTGTGTGCTAATTTAATTAGTTTGTACATTTGTTTAAGATAATCTGTTATTTTATTATTAAGAAGGAGTTTAAGGCTATTTTGATATTGTAGTACAAGATAATTATTATTTATTAGTTGTTGAAATATGTATTTAAGTTTAAGATTATGATTTATTTTAACATACATAATTATTATATCTTTCAACAGAAGTATAATTATAGTTATCTTAATATAATACATCTAATATTAAATTAGCTGAATCTTTTATTTATTTAATCCAATTAATTCGAAGTTAATAATTACTTTATTCGATTTTAATTCATACATTAAATCTTTAAAAAAATAATGTTCTAAAATTTTATCTTTTTATAAGACAACAAGAGAATACAGAATGTTCAAAGCCATTTTCTTTACTTACCATAATTAATTTTACAATAACAATTACAAATGTGGTATAATTTCATCAGCAAAGATACTAAAATAATGTTAAAATGATATTCTTACTCAGATTATTCTTCTACACTTAGGATAATAGCAGCTATTCCTTTTAAAATTTATACTTTTCCATTTTATTAAGTTAACAATGAGATGAATTTTCTAAATAGAAACAATGCATTTTATTCTAAGATTTGTAATGATAAAAATTAGACAACTTTAGTTAAACATAATGAATGGTATGGGTTTTGATTTAAATGATTCATTAATGGTTTAAAAATGCTATTTAATATATATATCTTAATTATAACAACGATGCTTGACTATTTTTCCAATAATTTCAGCAACCTATGTATAGACACAATTCATTGATTCAAAGTCTTAAATTCTTTTTAATAAATGATTGAATATGATTGGTAATTAAGAACTAAAGTTTTCATATGCACGTTCAGCCAATAATCCAAATAATCTTAATTGTTATTTAATTAGACTAATCTTATCTGATTTAGCATCTATTAATACTTAAACTATCATTTAATATTGATCATATTCAAGAAATAATTATCTAAATTGTGGACTTGCAATAGATTTTTACAATAAGAATTAAAGTTGTTATTTGTAATTTTTCATTCGTTATAATTTTAATTAAAAAGCCTCCATAATTTTATCAATATATTATAGACCACTACATCATAATAATATTTTATGAATTTCTTAAACAAAATATTTGCAAGTTCACATAATAGAGGCTCTTTTTAAATTGAGGATGTTTCTGGTTCTGAAGAAGATTAAGATGAAATTCCAGAACATCAAGAAATTCCATAATTTAAGAAATAAAATATACAATAATTATAGAATTACAATTCTAGAAAGAAGCCTTAACCTAAAATGGGTTAGGCAGACTTTTTGGCTAGATATGATGAAAATTTTGAAGATGTATTTGGAGATAAACCATAATTTAATGATTTTCCAAAAGGTAAAAAAAGAAGATAGGAAGAAGATGATGAGGATGAAAATGATAATGAAAGAAAATCATAAAAGAAAAAAACTTAAAGTAGAGAAAGAAAATAATAATCTAAAGAATAAAAAGAATAATCTAAGGAATAAAAAGAATCATCAAAAGATAATAAGAAAACTAAAGAAATTAAAGAATTTAAAGATAATTTAGATTATAAAGAATTTAATACTGATATTAAAGAATTTAAAGAACCTAATGAACCTAAAATATAAAAAGAACCAAAAATGAGATTTCCCAAATAAAGAAAAAGGATTGTTAATAATCATCTTTCAACATTAAGATCTATTTCTAATGAGCGAGATAGTATTAGTAATAAAGATAGAGAATCTATATAATAAAATAATAAATATAATCCAAATGCAATAGCTTTACCATAAGCTACATTACCAAAAGGCGAAAAGAAATAAGATAAATAAAAAACAATGTTATTTACTTTTGGAATAAATAGTAATAATAATAATAATAATGATGATAGTAATAGTGATAGTAATAGTAATAATAAGAGTGAAAAAGATATATAAAATAAAATCAAGAATTTATTTTCAAATTAAAAAGAAAAAAAAGATTAAAATGAATAAAACTCTAGTAATAATAATAATAAAAACAAATAAAAAGAGAAAGAGAAAGGAGATTAAGAAAAGAAATAGAGGAATGTTGAGAGAAAAGAAAACAATTAAAAGAAATAATAAAAAGAGAAAAAAGAAAAGGAGAAAAAAACAATAAATAATTTGAAAGAATTTAATGATATAAAAGAGATACAAAAAAATATCAATAGTAAATAAAATAGTGAATAGAGAGAAACAAGAAAATCAAACAGTATATAGAGAGAGAAACAAAAAGAAAAGAAAAGAGAATAAAAATAATCGAGAGAGAAAGATGAAAAAATAAATACAAAGTCTCCATCCCCCGAATTAAAATTAATATAATATGAAACATAGAAGAGAGTGAAAAGAAGCCATAAAAGAGGATTAGTAGAAGATTTGGAAATGTTAAATGTAGATGAATTATCATTAAATCCAAATATTGTAGAATGCAAACCCAATTTATATTTAGATTACATTCCTGTATATGATTGATTGATTTATAAATAAATGTAATCACCTACAACGTCAATAAATAAATTACGAAATTCTCTTACTAGTTTTTATGTAAAAGGCACTTGTTCTAACAAGACATCACCAATAAAAGAAGATCCTTCTATTCTTCAAAACCTGTTAAGAATGTAACAGAAAGAAATTGATAGATTGGAACATTAGAACAAGAATCTTTAAGTACTAACACAAAATTAATGTTCTATGCTTTATCAAGAGAGAACATTAAGAACAAATTCAACTAAATTATAGATTCATGCAGATTTACCATAAGCGTTACCTAATGCTAGAAATGCTAGAAGATCAACTATTAAAAGTGTTTTATAAGCTATGAAACCACCGCCTCGTAAAATTGTTGTATCTAATAAACTATAAATGAATAACAATGAATGTTTTAAATTATGTTCAATTCTAGAAGTCAATAATCAATAAGCTAAATAATTATATTAGGATGATAGTAGTATATAATTAGTCAAAGAAATTCTTAAAGATGAAGATTCATTTATTGATATTATTACAACATATCCTCCTCAATAAGTTTCAATTATGTATGACAAAATTAAAAAGTTAATCAATGAACATGAATAAATGTTTGAAATGATACTCAAATTCAAATCTATTATTGATAACTCTTTTAATCTACAAAACATCAAATTATAATTAGAAGCACTTAATCAATTAAGTTTATAATGTAAAAATATACTTGAATGTAAAAATGTATAAATAATTGCTAACATAGATGAAACAAGCAAATCCTATATACAACATGTATATTAAACTAAATAAATAATTAACTTAAAAAATGCTAAATTTGATGAAAGATTTAAAAATGAAAATTTCAATCAATTATTAGCTGCTCCCATTCTAGATAATAATAAATGTTTAGGTGTTATTGTTTGCTAAGATAAATCAATTAATTTTAATAATGAAGATGAAATATTAATTTAATATATTTGTCGATAAGCTTAACATATATTAACTAATTAGATACCAAATAATAAAATTGAAATTCAGCTTTAAAAATATTAGCATGCTCTCAAAAGTTTACTTTTACTATAATCAATTGATGATTTAGATACTAAATTACACTTTTCTTAATAAAGACTATGCGAAATTATGAATAGTAGTGATTGCAAAATTGTCTTACTTCAATAAAACAATGAAATATAAAATAGTATCATTTTAGAAGCTATTCAAAATAATAAAACTCTATTTATACAAAATTGTTATAATCATGAAAATTTCTAACCAAATATAGATATCAATACATAATTACCAATTGTAGCTACACCTATAAAATATTAAAATAAAATTATTGGAGGAATAGAATTCATTTTATATAATAAATAAATTTCATCAATCGATCAAGAAATTTTAGATTTATTTATATAAATTTTAGGAATAAACTTTTATCATTTCACAAACAATTAATTCTGAATCTCACTAAGATTTGGTAATTGTGATTTTTAATTTATTGGAATTTCATTTTATAATTACAACTACTTAATTTAATTTTATAAGTATTTTATTTCAGTTTACATGTGTATTAAATCTTCTTGATTATCTGAATCCTTCAATTTTTAATTCAGTTCATTTGTTATATCCAATAATTTTTCTCTTTCTTATTTTAACTTAATAATAACTTCCTTCGAATTCTACAGTTTTTTACTTAAATTATCTATCTATTATTTAAATTCACTTGTAACACTTTCTAAATCTTCATTATTTTTAATTTATGCTTAAAGATATAAAATTTATTCCTTATATTTCAATATTTCTTGTTATAGAGATTATATTTTCTCTTTAGCTTAATAACATTCTTATTTTTAAATATTCAATTCTTAAACTTTTAACAACAATTAATCTTTAGTATTTTCCATTGTTTAATGCATATCTTTTACAAATAATTTTAATTAAGCATTTTCTTATTCTAAATTACGATGATGTTTTGATATAGATTACTTTGATTATTTTATCTACTATTATAAAGATCCTTTCTAAAGTAAACTAGATACGGGACCTTCATCACCACTAAAAAGAAGTTTTTCAACTGACTCTACTTCTTCCTCTTCATCTAAAAATTTTGTTTTTTGTTATTATTATTATTATTAAATTGGCTTCTTATTTGATGGATTCGATTATTATAATTATGGTTTTTTATTTGTATTATTTATATTATTATTATTTTTTCTTAAATTAACTACTTCTTCTATTAATATATTATTCTCATTTTTTAATTCCTATATTTTTGCTGCCATATTATCTAATAATTTATTTGATTCATTGATTGTCTATTTTAAATTTTATATTTCATCATTCAATTAATTTATTTGATATATTTTTAAATCCATATCATTTTTCTACTGTTTTTTATCCAATTCATTATTTTTTATCAATTATTAAACCCTTTATTCATTATCAAAAATTAATCTATTTAGTTTTGATTCTATTTCTTAACATTTCTCTTTTGAATTTGCTTCTTATATTTATAATTTCTCATTCTCAATTAAATACTATTATAACTAATATTCTAATTTTCTAATTTTATCTTCTGATTAACTTTAAATTGATTTCAATTATTATTATATTTGTTCTTTCAACAATTTTTATTTAGTTTTTTTTTTTTATTTCATTTCTAATAATTTATATTCTAACTCCTGCTTTTCTTATTACAATTAAATAATCTTTTATTATAATTTATTTTAATTGATCGAATCTTAACCCTATTAATCATCATGATCTCTTTTTATTTAATCAATAATTTATGATTATTGTTAAATTTTCAATTTCAATAATTAATTATCATTTTAGAATTCAATAATTTACTCATTAAATTATTATTTTTATAAATTAAGTTTCTATTGTAATTGTGTATTTTCATTATTAATTTGTATATGTTATTCTGAAGCCTATTCCAATTTCAATATTAAACTCTTTTAATCATTTAATTTCTAAAGTAATTAAGTAATCTACTCTTTCTAATCATCTAATTGATCTTATTGATTTTTAAAATATAATTTTTCATTTTTCAATTATTCTAATTGATTAAGAGTTTATCTGTATTTACTCTAGAACTAATTAATCTCTTCTTCATGAATACGCTTTAAATATTTAATTTCTTTTCTCTAATCATCATTCTTAGATTTCAAATTATCCCGTTATAATTTCCACTCCTCTTACTTTCTATGTTATTCTGCCTCCAATTCAATGTATTCATTCAATTACTTATCATTCTATTGTTTTAAAGTTAAAAGCTTCTCCGTAATTTCATCTAATTCATCATCCCTATCCTTTATTACCCTTAAATTATGTTAATAATCATCATATAGATTTTTATATTTGCTTTGTAACTCTTAAATTAATTAATCCTTCATAAGCAATTGTTTATCCTATTATGATATCTTCTATCTTTAAAGATAATATAACTATTTTTCCTACTCTTCTATTTCATTCATTATAAAATTTTAATTATAATTTATATTTTTTTTATTATTTTATATTACATTAAGATCACTTTTCTAACTTCAAACAAGAATCTGTTTTTAGTATAACTATACTAAATTCTTAGTAAAATTAAACATGAATTTAATTTTAACATTTCAAACTCTTAAATCTAATTTTATTACTTTTTATTTAAATTTTAAAATTGATCTTATAGAATAATTCTTAATGAAAATATTCATTATATGGTCAATTTTTGGTTGAAAAATATAAAAACACCTGAATGATGATTGATTTATATCTGATTATTATACAGGAGATAAAATATTTAAGTACACAATAAATGTTAAGAAATTGAATTAAAAGGATTTGCTTTTCTAATCGATTTTCTTTCAAGTAATTATGTTGGTGAATTCAATTAATTTATTATTATTTAATTGAAAATTTTATTAAATTATATTGATTGTTTTTATAATATATAATTTTTATATTTATTACTGAGTAAAATGAAGCAATAATAATAAGATGAATGAATAATATATGAGATTAATTTATATATTCAAAATTTTCTTTTATTATATAATAGAACATGAAAAAAACTTTACAAATACTCAAAGCTTAGAGTCTTAATTACAATTCAATAGTGTCTGGCTTAAATTATAGAATGACTATAAGAGAGAATGGGTAGAGAATGGGTCATATTTCAATTAATCTTAATAAATCTAATAATGCATAGACAAATATTCTACTCAGGAAGCTTCTTTAAAATCAAGAATACTCAATATTAAGAGATTAAACAAAAATGATATTTGAAGGATCCTTCGAAGCATTAAAGACCTTAACTGGAGTTACTACTTATTATCCAGACACAGGTTAATAGAAAAATATTATATTTTAGGTTTATTAGTTTATGATTTAGAAGCAAACAAGCTTGTATTACATTTAACCAAAGAGAACAACTAATGTTAAGGAATTGTCTTAGGTTATGTTATGGATTAGGATGCTATAACCATATTAAATTCTCTTAGAACATCTACTATTCCATTATAAGCAAGATTAGAAAATACTTATAATTATTACCTTAAAAGAACCTTAAATGTGAGCTTGGCTGTATCATTATTAGTATTTTATAATGCATTTAATGGATCTTAAAAGTAATAATTTGGTGTGTTTGAACGGGATGATAAATCTCCTAAAGTAGAAACCTAATGAATAAAAATTCAAAATTAATATTTTTTTAAAATATTTATTATCATGTTTATTATTAGCATTCTAAAAAATTAATTAATTTATTATATTAGAGTAATCAAAGTTCTCTTGATTCGATCTTTTTTCAATATTTTCCAGGGATCTGCTGAATTATATTATATTTTTTAAAGAATAAATTATATGATATATTAAATAAAATCATATATCATTTATTCAAAATAATTCAATAGTATGATAGTTATACTCATTTAACTATATCTATTATGATACTCTGTTGATTTTCTATTCAATTTTTAGTACTTTAACTTTTGAATTTAAAAAAAATAGAGTTTTTGTTTTTAACTATCAGAATCTAATTATAAAAACATATATTAAATTTATAATGAAAAAGGAAATAAAACAATAAATTATATATATAGATTCATTAGAATTGTTTGAATGAATAAATTTTGCATTTAAATATGTTTAATAAATAACTGTCATATAAGATTTGTTAGTAAGAATTTAGTATTTTTGAAAAGTAAGGATGTATTTATAAGGATAATAAGATTAGGTATATAAAGTACAAATGTAAGATTTTGATAATTTAGGAATAATAATACTTAAAATAGTATCTTAGATTGATAATTTTAAAAAGTTTATAATAATTTTAATAATATAATATATACGATATGTAAAAAAGGAATAAGGTATTGATTAATTGAAACTTTTAAAAGTTAAGAATAAAGGATATTTTGGGATAGAATGAAATACTTTTAGATGAGGCAAGCAATGAATAATTTAGGATTTAATAAAGGTTTTTAAGGAATCATTAAAAGATGTTTGAATAATTAACATCAACACTTACAACGAGACCATTAACATTTGCGAAATTTTCATTTTAAAAGGCGGAAGTGGAATAAGACGATTAATTAAGACCAATAGTGAGTGGAATATATTAACATTAGAAATAGGGTTCAATGTTAACAAGTGAACTTTGGTCAAAAAAGCAATGTAGATAATATTTAAAATAAGCCAAGTATTATTAATGTTAAAATGATTAGTATGTAAACAGCTAAAGGAGTTCTTAAAAGATTTGCACATTGGGAATGGGATTAGAATTCAAATAAGGAAAGATTTAGAAATGTCACTGATAAATTAAAATAACCTACTTATACGAATGAAAGTGAATTAGTAACTAAATTATAGTTAGGAACTATAGAAGGAGAAAAAAGATTAAGATAAAAAATAATAAGAGATTGGAGAATATAAAAGAGTTATGATATTTAAGGTGAATTAGAAAAGTATAAGGATATAGAAATATTAAAATAAAGAGGATAAAAGTATCATAAATCAAGTTAATCATTTGGACAATTATCTTTAAGACATTAAGTAAAGAATAATTAACTAAATCATATTATTACAGAATTATCAGAATTATAGGAAGATACAAAGAAAGAGAAAAAAAAGTTTGAACAAATAGTATTAAAAAAAAGAAATGTAAATCATTAATACAAGACATCTTTTGATTAATTTTTGTAAGACTGATTAAATATATATATTAATAATATCTATAGACTTTGAATTTAGTTCATTTTTTTAATAATATATAAATTTGACTAAGAATGTTGCTGAATAATAATTAATGAACTAATCAGGTTGGTTTTCACTTGAAGATATAGAAATGCAACATTAAATAGATGCAGCTAATCCTCCAATTATTCGTGAGAGAAAATTACCTGAAAAATTAGATATGGATTCTATTCTCTCACAATATTAATCAATTGAATTAAATCCAAATTTGATTAAATACATAGTTAATGAGTCTAATACAAATGAACAACCTTAATCCATTAATCTTAAATCTAAGATAAAGCTGAGATGTGAAGAAAGAGATTTAGAAGGTAATCTTGTAAATAAGGGTACTAATAATATATAAGCAACTAAAATTTCTATGGCATCTACTATTCCATATATTTAAGGTTTAAAATCTGCTTTTCTTTCAATGAAGGAAGGAGATATTGCTTGGTTTAAGTTATCTAATGAATAAATGTATACTGAATAAGAAATTGCTAGTGGAATCACAGTTCAAAATTTATAAAAATACTTCAAAATTGAAATCTTAGAAGTTACTCAACCAGAAATACCATTAGATTTAAAAAATTTAGATAAGTAATTAATTCTAACATATTTTTAGTCGTCTTAAATAAATGGAACTATTTAAAATTGAAGGCAATTAATTCTATCAAAAATAATAATATTAAAGTGCTTTATTAAGATACCAAAGAGGATTAAACTTTCTTGAAAAATGGCCCAAAAAATATGAAGATAATCCTGTTGCTATAGAAGCCAAAAGAAACTCTTTATTAGTATTATCTAGTAATAAGGCATAATGTTTAATAAAGTTATAAGATTTTAAATAGGCCATTTCTGTTCTTGAACCTATAATTGGCTAAATGAGAAACAAAGTATTTATTTTAGTTCAATTTTATTATTAGCAATATGAAGTTAAAAATTATTATAGATTAATAACCTGTCTAAAAGAAATAGATGAATAAGTTAAGGCAGATTTCTATTTTAGATAAGTTTCCCATATGTGCTAACTATCACCAGAAGAGAAAAAGCTTTTTTAATCTATTAAAATTAAAAAATGAATTTATATATAAATTATTCAATTATAAATTTTATTTATTTTTGTCAAAATTCATACATTCTCAGATCTTCTTCCATTCTAATCCTTTCTATGTATAGTATAAGGTTTATTCAAGTTTGATATTATTTGATTATTTGGTTTATTTAGATTCATGATGGTTTTATTTAACTTTGATAATGGCAATGATATTATTTAAAATATGTATTTAATTAAGATTCCTGATTAATAGCTATGTATTTATTCATAAATTATATAAAAATAAAAATATTATAAGATAAAATAATTGGATGTAGTTAATTTATATAATAATATTTTTTAAAGAGGTAGAATGTAAAAAGTAGAGGTGATGCGATTAATAAGACATATTGAGACTTGCTTCTTTGAGATGTATTGAAGAAATTGAAATAATGAATGCAGATTTATCAAATTCTACTAATTTGAATTGATGTATAATTTGAAATTAAATCATAGTATATTCCGTTATTATGCAAGACCCAGTGCTTAAATGTTTACATGAAAATCATTACTCTAAATAAATAATTGGTGTATGTGTTAATTCAGATTGCTAAAAGATAAGACCATATTGTTAGCAATGTTTGAAATACTATTTGCATTCAGAACATCTTCATGATCTTTAAGATTTTACAGACTTTTATAATTATGTGTAAGAAGGATTAAATACTTATCATAATATGTAAAGTCTTGCAGAGGAATTATAATCAATAGCAAAGTTGATTACTATCATTATAAACTAATTAAGTTTCAATCCAAAGATCAATCTTAAAGATATGTCCATAATTGCAATTAATAACTTGATAAATAAAATCATAAGAGTGAAGGAAGTGGAAAAAATATTGAAAATTAATTTAGAATTGGCTGTGGTACCATTACAAAAAATCAAATAAGACTTTAAAGACTTACTTTTTAAAAATAGTATAAATTTCATTAATATAATCCAGCTGAATAATAATTGGTTACAGAAGAACCTAATCAAAAAATCTCATAAAAATCAAAGAAACAAAAGAAAACAGAAAAAGAGAGTTTAAAGTAGTCATTAGGTAAGATGAATTGAATTAAATTTAGCAGTTTAAGTTTAATAATAAATAAAATAGGAAGAAATGAAACATTAAATTGTTTGTATAAAACCTAATAAATCAAAGGATGAAAAGAAGTAATAATAACAATAATAGATTAACCAAAATTAAGGAAAATATCAATTCTCAAATATTTACAAAAATAGAGCAATAAATATTATCTAACCAGAAAATTCAGCAGAGGGTTTTGGATTTTGTGTATGTGATTAGGCAATTTCAAAAAGTGGAACCACAATAATAGCATTTCGAATAGTAAAATGTGATTGGAGAATTCATATAGGAGTATGTGATAGAGATCTTTTAATAGAATCTAAATATGATCCTAATTTAGCAAATATTGGACATGGGTAATAATAGATTTGAATATTATAAAGGACTTATCTTATAAATAATTAAGGTGATATATTTTCAACAATGGATCCTGAGAATAATGATAAATCAAAATCATTTAAATTTTATAATAAAAACATAATTACAATAGAAATTAATGTAGAATAATAGCAAATAACTTGGATAAAAAAGTAACCAAACGAAACATTTGTATTATAATTTATAATAATAAAGACTCTTAAATTTGAGATTAAGAAGGAACTCTATCCATGTGTAAAACTTTGGGGTTCATCAAAAGTAGAATTATTAAATCCAATAATACTTTAATGAAAATATTAATTTACTTAACTTAAATAATTAATAAGATGAACATTTATAAATTCAGATCATAGAATAAAATTCATTCATTGTTACTTCTAATTCTTTTTTCCATAATAAATTATTTTCATCTTATAAATATTTGCCATGTCTTGAATGATATAATGCAAGCCCTAAACACTCTGCTAATTTAGGAATAGCATCTTACTTTACACCTTTATAAGTTAAAGGAATTAAACTAAAAATTAATAATCAAAAATATATTACTTAAAATCTATTCTAGATTCTCTAAAACGAGCATATATTTATGAGTTTTCTAATTTATTAGAATCTTGCTCGTTTGCTTCTATACTAACAAATGTACCTGATGTTTCAATTAAAGGAAATTCTAATTAAATTATAAGTAAAGATACCTTTTAATTTTAATTATCTTTTTAAAGCTGCACAATTACTTTTAACTTATTAAAAAAAGGTTTAATATTCTTAATTTTAGATTTCTCCTAAAGATACAGTGATTCCTGTAATTGTATGAAAATGAGGGCCAGATTAATATCCTGGATAACATGCTTCATCAACTTCTTCTGAAAACTTCTTATCTGAAAATAATATACAACCTTTTGGACCAAGTAAACTAAGATAAATATACATATTAAAATTACCTTTAAGTATTAACAACAATAAATTGATATTTTTATAATAATTAAGATTCAACATGAAGTAGATTAGTTACATAAAATGGAGCCTTTTCTGTTATATCCAAAAGGATTGGTATATTTTTGTATTCTTACCAAAGTGTATCTAATCGATCTAATTTAGAATCAATAATCATATCAATTTAACCATGATAATTATCATTCTAAATTATATTATAATACTTTTCTAACGCTTTTGTATCCATATTGCCTCTACTTAAAATAGTACCTCCAGGTTTAACAATAGCTTTGCTTACAATAAATTTAGCTGCAGGTACAGTTTGCAATTATACATTCACATTAAAATTATTTAATTTAAATAATGATTGAGCTCTTTCCCAACATGTTTATTCTATTTTATCATATATTTCTGTTCCTGGTTTATTTTTCTTCCCCGGATAACCAGATGCATATTTTGTTGACATCATAGACCCCAAAGATTATTATACTGCTAAAGATGTAGGTGTTTCTATAAAATCTATGCATTTATGACTTTATGCTTTTTAAATTAAATCAAAGATCTAAGGATCTTATTATGCTAATGACAAATGATGATTTTTAGCAAAGCAATTAGATATTAAATATCTTAAAATTTTAGAATTCATATTAANTTTGCCATGTCTTGAATGATATAATGCAAGCCCTAAACACTCTGCTAATTTAGGAATAGCATCTTACTTTACACCTTTATAAGTTAAAGGAATTAAACTAAAAATTAATAATCAAAAATATATTACTTAAAATCTATTCTAGATTCTCTAAAACGAGCATATATTTATGAGTTTTCTAATTTATTAGAATCTTGCTCGTTTGCTTCTATACTAACAAATGTACCTGATGTTTCAATTAAAGGAAATTCTAATTAAATTATAAGTAAAGATACCTTTTAATTTTAATTATCTTTTTAAAGCTGCACAATTACTTTTAACTTATTAAAAAAAGGTTTAATATTCTTAATTTTAGATTTCTCCTAAAGATACAGTGATTCCTGTAATTGTATGAAAATGAGGGCCAGATTAATATCCTGGATAACATGCTTCATCAACTTCTTCTGAAAACTTCTTATCTGAAAATAATATACAACCTTTTGGACCAAGTAAACTAAGATAAATATACATATTAAAATTACCTTTAAGTATTAACAACAATAAATTGATATTTTTATAATAATTAAGATTCAACATGAAGTAGATTAGTTACATAAAATGGAGCCTTTTCTGTTATATCCAAAAGGATTGGTATATTTTTGTATTCTTACCAAAGTGTATCTAATCGATCTAATTTAGAATCAATAATCATATCAATTTAACCATGATAATTATCATTCTAAATTATATTATAATACTTTTCTAACGCTTTTGTATCCATATTGCCTCTACTTAAAATAGTACCTCCAGGTTTAACAATAGCTTTGCTTACAATAAATTTAGCTGCAGGTACAGTTTGCAATTATACATTCACATTAAAATTATTTAATTTAAATAATGATTGAGCTCTTTCCCAACATGTTTATTCTATTTTATCATATATTTCTGTTCCTGGTTTATTTTTCTTCCCCGGATAACCAGATGCATATTTTGTTGACATCATAGACCCCAAAGATTATTATACTGCTAAAGATGTAGGTGTTTCTATAAAATCTATGCATTTATGACTTTATGCTTTTTAAATTAAATCAAAGATCTAAGGATCTTATTATGCTAATGACAAATGATGATTTTTAGCAAAGCAATTAGATATTAAATATCTTAAAATTTTAGAATTCATATTAATACAATTAATTTAAAAAATCAATTTATTATAATCTATAATCAGCTTATGAATATAACTATAAAGGTAATATCATCAACAACTGAATCATCTTCCTAAATTAATTATATTTATATATAAAATTACTAAAGTCCACATTTTATATGAGATCTACATTAATTCATCGCATGCTCCTTCTAAATTGCCTTTCATATAATGTTTGCCTACAATATCAACAACACTTTAATTATCAATAAACTCCCAAACTCCATCGCTTCCTAAAATTATAAATTTATCCTAAGGAGTTAATTAATATTCAAATATCTCTAAATTAAAAATAGATATTAATAAAATACCAGGAATACTAGAAACACCAACTGATTAAGCAATTTAATCACCAAGACTACGACTCATAGCTAATCCTGGATAATTTCCATCCCTTACCCAAACTCTAGCTGGTCCAATCGAATTACCTATTGGATTAATATATAATACCTTAATCATCATAATAAGTATCTACTCTACCTCCATGCATATGAATTCTATTCATTTCCTTCTCGATACAAGGTTTATGATCTATTGATAAAGGAAATGCTTTGAATTTTTAATTATTTCCTAATTTTCCTATTATTGCTCTACTATCTCCTACATTTGAACAAATTAAATGTCCACCATCTTAAACCAATAATACATTCATTGTTGTCCCGCTGAATTATGTATCAAATGGTTATTAATTTATTAAATTTGCTAATACTGATATAGATTTAACTATTGCTTATCTAGGATGCTATTTTAATTAATTATCTCTTCTCAATATTTTTGTAAATTAATCTCTAACATATTATGATACGAAATGGCCATTCTAACCATGACCATCACATACTGAAAAAAGATGCATATCACAAACTATATTTGTTTCACATATGTAACTGTCTTAATTTGTTTTATTTGGATTTGATGCCAATTATCCTTATCTTGTTCTTGCACTAAATTATAGCTTAAATTATAAATAATCAGGATTATAATGTAAAGATTAAGCCGATCTATATTTTAAATCACTCCTTGGTACTTATCGCATATTATGTGTACTTGAACTTTATGCTCTACGTACTTATTAATCAATTATTGAATTATTAAGCTGTAAATATAAATGTACATTCTGTTACAAAATTATGCCATAAATTTCTTTTTTCTGTATTGCTTTTCAACTTGTTATTTGCATATTGCTTTATCAAATTTTATGTTGATTCAATTACTGTTTATCTTTTTGGTTATAATGATTCATATGGCCTTGATATTTCTTAATATATAATCATCCTATCATACTTTTTTAAGAGTTCTTAGCATCTATTGTAATAGACCTTGGTTATCGTAACTAAGAAAAATTGGTCTTAAGCTATTTGGCACTGGATTTTTATTACTACTCTATTCGAAGATTCTTAATAAAGTAATTGTTCGTGATTTGCGTAAGATTGTCCTTCCTCATGTAAATGGTAACAATCAGTACAATTTAGCAATGGTTTTAACATCACTGTTTAAGTATGCTCCATAAGATGTCTATGATTTGCCACCATTGGGTAGTTTTGGTTTCTTTACATTTGGTTTGTAAATATCAACTGTTCTTTTCATTAATTAATAAATGAAATAAGATGATTAACAAACACCCAGTCTTTGTGGGTATTTAAACTTTTTTCAAGTGTTAAGTGAGATGGAATAGGAATGTCTAATCTCCTAATAAGAGAAAAGGTTAATAAAATAGAAATTAACAATATAAGAACCAACTTTAATGTGGTTATTGTCAAAATAAAAGGAAAATGAGAAGATAAAATCTGAATTGCTTTCTTATGTGTCCTAACTTCAAATGACTCGTTCAAAATCACATACCTAAGATTTTAGTCCATCTAAAAAGCAAGGATAACAATTATAAGTATATAGATATATCTATGAATATCACATAGTCTCAAACTATTTAACTAATGGATCAGCTCATAATTCAATTAAAATGTATGTAACAATATCAAAATGTAATTTGTTTATGATAACTTTAGATTACGTAAGAGTTTAAGTCAAAAATTGAACAACTCAAAAATGTCTTACATTCATTAGATGAAGATGAAGATATTGATTAATAATTTATAGAATCGCTACAATAGAGCTATTCATAAATAAAGGTAATATTGTCGTTACACTTAGCAAAGGTATTCTCGTTATATGAATTCACTTCTTGAATTGATGGATGAGAAAGTTGAACCTAAAGATATTTAGGCATTTCTCAATACGTTCTTAAATTAATTAATTGGATGTGAATCATATAGTTTCATCCTCATCAAAGATCAAAAGGTTGAAATACATCAAGAGAACAAGTTTGAAGAATTTCCTATAAGTAATGAAGTGCTTGATGAATTGGTTAATTTATAAGATATAACAGATGTTCACACTTTAAACATTCTAAAATAATATTATCAAACTCCAAATCATTTTATAATTAAACTTACAAATTTGTAATATTTTGTAATGAAATTGGACTTAAATTTTACATCATTTGTGATGTTAGCTAAAAAATATAATTACATGGATTCCTTGATTGATTTAGCTCAATTTGTAATTTACACTTCATAACAAATTAAAGTCTAATATTTTAGTATTTTATCTATTGGAGACACTGTATTAGAATTTGGTTTAGAAATTGTTAGATGTTCAAAATATATATTCATTGAGAATATCCTTTAAATTATTAATAAGCAATATCAGATTCATGAGATTTTTGAAGCTTAACCTAATGTGGTTACTCTAAAATTTAAAGATTCATCTTCTTCATTTTTTTTTGCCTCTAATTTGGATCTTAAAAAATCATAAGATTTATTGATTTATAATACTGTGAATCAAATTTATTAACGTTATCAATAATTTATTAAGTAGTGTTATGAGAGGATGCAATTTTATAAATATTTTTTAAGAACTAAAAATTTGTTTATGATTGATTTTGATAAATAGGGTCGTTTAAGATTTTTGAGTAGAGCTTTGTCATAAAAAATTAAGATGTAATTTTAGATTGAAAAAATTCAAATTGATGGTACTTATAAGTAGATTTTTGTATCGAATTAATAGATGGTTTAAAATATTGAAAATTATATAAGTAATTCAAAATGGAAATTAAATTAATAGGAAGAAGATTAAAATAAAGAATATGAAATATTGATTAGAAAAGAAGAAAGATAATTCAAAGGGTTCACTTTGATTCTTTCAGAAAATGAATGGGTTCGAAAAAAGACTTAGCCTCCTACGAATGGAAAGACAATAAGACAATAATTATTACAAACAGAAACAATGGATTATATTAAGAAATTAGAAGAATTTAATCCTGACATTAGAAATTCAGTAGTTGCAATGTATATGCCGCAAATATAGGACGTCAATTCAGCTATTGCTTAGTAAACTTAAAAAACTCCAACTTTGGTTTTTAGAAAAATAGATAAGGAATAAGTTGTTGGAAAAAATAGTTTTTTTTTTAAGTAACGAGAGGAGGAGAGAAGATGTATGAAGACAAATCCCAATAAATTAAATGATACTCATCTAATTTTAAAGGAGGAAGACATTTAGTTAGATTAACTAGATTTGAATATTAATTTAGTAATTTATATAAAATAATTGATTTTAGATAAAATCAACAATAGAGAAATAAAGGATAGTTTGGTCAATATTGGAGAGAAATAATTTTAATTAAATGTTTGCATTACCTTAAGAGAAGTTGATAAATTTTTTAATTGAAATGGAGACTTAATATAATATGAATAATAATCCTTATCATAATTTTGACCATGGAGTAGCTGTAATGCAAGCTGTTAATTGTTTTATAAAATCATTAACACAACATTTAGATTAATAAATTTTTAATAATATAACAAAGTTTTGTTTATTATTATCAGCTTTATGTCATGATGTTGCTCATTCAGGTAAAACAAATGCATACGAAGCAAATTCATTAAGTTAATTGGCAATACGATATCATGATAAAGTGGTATGAGTTTATTATTTTATTTATTAGATATTAGAATAGCATCATGCAGCAACAACGATAAAAATATTGAGAGATAATTAAACAAATATTCTATGTAATTTTTCAGATTAGGATTTCAGAACATTTAGAAAATAACTAATTTAAAATATTTTAGCAACAGATATGCAGGAACATTTTAAAATGTTAAAAGAATTTGAATCTAGAATAGAGTAATATGGTAATGATCCTGAAGATTTATCTTTGTTATGTGGAATGATAACTCATACAGCTGATTTTAATGGAACAGCAAGGAAATGGCCATAAAGTAGATTATGGAGTGAAAAGATAAATTAAGAGTATCGTGCATAATAT